ATGATTCTCTCTCATCATCCGATCGAGGCGATCTCTCCCTCGCCCTTCCTCTCTGAATCAATAAAAATGTATTTTAAAAAAAGGTACATGTTTGGAATTTTCACAGTAGCTTAAAATACAAACAGTTGCAAAAGAGAACCGCCTAGCAGAATAACATATTAATAACAATCTAATGAATAACATATCACTTCTGACAGAATGACTACCATTTATTTGCTTTAGATTTCATAAGGTTATTTTACTTGTCTCAATTGCTCGAGAGCTTAAACACATATTGAGTATTCATTATAGACTGGAATAAAAAGTAATAAAGCACATTCTTGTCTTCAAAATGCTCAGAATCTGCTAATAGAAAACCATACTAACTTTTCTGTAATTTTAAGCTCTGTATAATAAAAAAATACATGAATTATATAATATAAATAAATAATAACAATAAAGTTTGATATTTGGACAACAGAAATATGTACAAGATAACAAAATAGAATAAGACAGTGATTAACATTAGGGACCAAGAAGGAAGGCTGGTATAAGGGAATACTTTACAGCAACTTTTGGTTTTAAAAAGTTATTTTTTTAAATTAAATCAAGGGTAGCCAATGTTATCTATTTCTTGTATATCTATATCCTTCCAAAGATGTTCTAATGCACATATACACAAAAGGATATACAGGGTAGTGCAAAAGTAGGTTTACAGTTGTGAGTACACAAAACAGAGTTTATTCATATTATTTAATTATATTATTTTCCATATAAACAACTATAAATCTACTTTTGCCCCCGCCCTGTGTATATAAAACAAACATACATACATAATCCTTTTTAAAAAATCCTCACCCAAGGATATGTTTATTGATTTTAGAAAAAGGGGAAGGGAGGGAGAAAGAGACGGAGAAACATCGATGTGAGAGAAACATTAATCCGTTGCCTCTGAATGTACTCCTACCGAGAACTGAATCTGCAACCTAGGCATGTGCCCTACTAGGGAATCAAAACCACAACCTTTCTGTGTACAGGACGCCACTCCAATCAACAGAGCCACACCAGCCAGGGCCACACATTTTTTTTCTCACTCTTTTCATATATGGTAACATATATTGCATACACATGTTCATATACACACAGAGAATATGTATAAAATAAAATTCTATACCATGGAGATCATTCAAGATCAGTGAATAAAAAGCCTTCTTGTATTTGGGGGTTGGGGGGGGGGCAGAGAGCTGAACATCATTCTATTGTGGGGCTATATCATCATTTATTGAACCAATCTCCTGCTGCACTAATGAGCATTTAAAAAATTTCTAATCTTTTGCTATTAAAAACTCTATTGCAATAAATAACCCTGTACACAAGCAACTTCATACATGTTAAACAGGTTTTTAAAGAGGATCAGAATGTTGCCAAGGAAAAAACAGGGCAAAATCTTTTTTTTTTAAATATATTTTTTATTGATTTCAGAGAGGAAGGAAGAGGGAGAGAGAGATAGAAACATCAATGATGAGAGAGAATCATGGATTGGCTGCCTCCTGCAAGTCCCCCACTGGGGATCAAGCCCACAACCGGGCATGTGCCCTTGATCGGAATCGAACCTGGGACCTTTCAGTTCCCAGGCTGACCCTCTATCCACTGAGCTAAACTGGCTAGGGCTAGGGCAAGGGCAAGATTTTACTGGCAGGGGAAATAACTCAAAGACCCAAAGGTGTAAAACTGGAATTAAGTAGTTTGACATTACTGGAATATAAAATCTGAACTGGGAGAATGGCAATTGGGGACAAAGAAGGAAAAATAAACTGGACCCAGATTACTTGGACTTAATTCTGTAGTATTTTAATAAGGAGTGGGACAAGATCAGAGTTTTGCTTTAAAAAGACTTTTCTATGGAAACAACCCAAATATCCATAAACTGATGAATGGACAAATAAAATGTGCCATATCCACACAATCGAATATTCAGGAATAAAAAGAAATGCAATATCGATACATTCTACAACATGGATAAACTTTGAAAACATTATGCTAAGCGAAAAAGGCAGTATTTCACAAAAGACTACATATTTCATGACTTATATGAAATGCCCAGAATAGGTAAATCCACAGAAATATAAAGTAGATTTGTGGTTGCCTAGGGCTGGATAAGAGGGAGGGTTAAGGAGAAATGGGGAGGAACTGCTAACAGATATGGGTTTTGAGGGAGCGGGTGACAGAAATATTTTAAAATTGTTTGTGGTAATGATTCATAAATTCATAAATATACTAAAAACCACTAAACTGTGTACTTTAAATGGGTGATTTTATGGTATGTAAGTTATATCTCAGTAAAGCTGTGAAATAAAATAGTTATTCTGATGACTATGTAGAGAACAGATTTGAAAGGGGTCAAGACTGGAGGCAGAAAATCAGTCAGGAAACATAACAGTCCAGGTGAAAGATAATGAGAGTCTAAGCTAAGATATAGGCAATAGTGACAAAGAGGAGAGAAGGATTCAAGAGATATTTGGGGGGTAAGACCAATCGAATTTATTTGCTGACTAGATAAAGGGGTAATGGGAAAGGGATGAATCTTGAATTCCTGGCTTGGATGACTGGGTGAAGGATTGTTACTACCTATATTTCCTACTCATATGAGATAGGAAGTATAAAAAGAAGAGCAGATTTTGGATGAAAGATAAGTTCCATTTCAGATATGTTGAGTTTGAGATGTCTGTAGGATATCTAGATGAAACTGTTAAGTATATAGTTGTTTTGAGGTAGGGGAGACACCTGGGGCTGTAGATTTGAGAGTCATGAGTGAAGAGGGGGTAGTTAAAACTATGAATTTGGATGTGACTGCTTGGGAAAGCATATAGAGTAAGCAAGGCATAGGCCAAGAATGCAACTCTGTATTTGGGAGCAGGCTAAGAATAAGTGTATGTGTAGGGAAAATTAATAGTTTATTGAGCACTCCCTCTAGATGGTGGGCACACACAGTTCTAGGTGGTACTTTGTTTCAAAGCCTTTATCTAAACCATCTTATTTAACCCTCATACCAATTTTACAAGTCAAAGCAATTGATACTGATCATTCCTAATTTATAGATTAGGAGATTGGAATGAGGGAACGATTTTGTGCAAGGTGTCAGGGCTAAAAGCGACTGTGCTGGAATAACTAGAATCTAGGCCTGATTCCAATGCTCAGACTCTTCCTACGTCATCTCTCCTTTCCACTGCTATAGTACCGAGCACGGTTTCTCTTCACTGCGCCTCGTAGACACGTAATTGATCACTGAAAAGCCAAACTTCAACGAGGTCATCGGAGCGATACTACATTATCGGGTAGGATAACGAGAGGAAGCAAGGGGCTGACTTTATTTCCATGCTAAGATCTACCTTATCTTAAATAGTAAGTTTTCTCTGTACAGTTTAGCAGCGCTCCGAAACCGCGATCCTGGGATTCGAAAAGGCAAATCCAGAATCTCCTGAGGGAAGGAATGAGGAACTCTATCAATCTTCAGATCTTATGGATTTACATTCTTGCAGACAGAGACCACGGAGCAGACCAGGCCGCCTAGACCCGAGGGCCAGCTTTGTCAACAAGTTTCTCAGCGGGGGTGAAGGGTCAAGAACACGAGAGCTTTGGGCCTGGCGAAGAGGCGACTGTCCCAGGGATCCGAGACACCACCACTCCCTGGGAACCCAGCACGCCCTGGGAACCCAGTCCAAGGGCCAGCACCCGCCCGGGCTCCCCGTACTCACTTTCTTGATGTTGGATTTGGAGGCGGGATGAAAGTCCTTCTTGCACATGAAATTGGCGAAAGACTTCCCCATCTTGGAGGCTGAGCTGGAGAAAGCCGCCGCTAGGTCTGAGAGCAACGTAAACAAACTCTGCCGCCTAACCGGAACTGCGCTTCCCTTCGCACGGGGCACTTCCGGGGTCAGAGGTGACGGCTTCCGGCAACTAATGCCTCTCCCTGACACTGATCGCCCCCTCCCTTTTCACTTTGCCCGGAGGCCAGGTGAGGGGCGTGCACGGGGGAGGGGCGTACGTAGGAGACGTGGGAAGTGGGGGAGACGGGAAAGATGGCCGGGTGGGATCCCGGGCCGCTGGGGGCCGGGGCACAGCTGTGCCGCCGCCGTTTCAACGCCCCCGACGGGGCGCGGAGGGCGCCCTGTGCGGCGGCTCTTCTACAAGACCTGTTTGAAGTTCGAGCCCTTTATTTACCCCGGGAACTCGGACTCGAGTTAAACTTTTCTGCACCGATTTTCTCATCTGTGTTATGGGAGTAGTAATTCTCACAGTGTGTAGCCCGTTTGTGCGGAGGTTTCTGAAAGCAGTTGGTGAACGAAAGCTTTTAAATAGGATGTCGACGCTACGAGAGCGAGGACTGTGTGTTTTGTCGCCACGGGGCAGAAAGATGTTCAGTAAACTTTTGTTGAGTGATAAATGCACAGTAAGCCCCTGCGGCTCCCCCTCGAAATGGGCTCGCTAGGTGCCTTGCTAACGAGGCTGCGTGTTTCCTGAGCTTCCCGTACAGCCCCTTAGCTCAGATCTAGTGCCGCTTTATGGCCCTTGAAACTACAGGGTTTGGGGTGGCCATGGCTGCTGTAGGGGCGCCACCAACCAGCTTCTCTTGCGGGTGTGTGTGCGGTGCCTTCTGTGGGGAATGCACCGTTTGCCGAATGAAAAAAACAACAGCTTTCATTTGAGTGTCTTCTTCGTTGTATACACTGTGCAAAACACTTGACACATTGTCTTACTAATTTCTCATAATAGCGCTATGATATATTTGAACCAGGGATTCCCAAATATGGAAATAGTCAAAGATGACTCAGGGAAGACTTCAGGAGTAAGAGTTGTTAGACCCTCTAAACCTGTGGGTCGCGACCCCTTTAGCGGTCGAACAACCCTTTCACAGGGGTCGCCTAAGACCATCCTGCATATCAGATATTTACATTACGATTCATAACAGTAGCAACATTACAGTTATGAAGTAGCAACGAAAATAATTTTATGGTTGGGTCACAACATGAGGAACTGTATTTGAAGGGCCAGAAGGTTGAGAACCACTGGCAGAGGGTAAATCTGACTGATAAATTAGAAGAAGGTACTTGTCATTAACATTTTCATATTGACTCTTGTGCTGCAAGATTCATTCCCAAGTCATTTTCTGACTGATTTTTGAACTACAGTACATGAAGTTTAAAACTTCAATGAACAGCTTTTATTAGATATGGCAATAGTATCCCTTGGTCATTAAAACTTTCTGTTTTGTATATACTTAAAAATGCTTTTTTCTTCTTATTTTGAATCTTCTATATGATTTTCAGTTTTAAAAAAATGGAACCTTGTTCCTGTGACACTTTTGTGGCATTACCTCCAGCAACAGTGCAAAATAGGATTATTTTTGGAAAAAATTCAGATAGACTCTGTGATGAAGTACAAGAGGTAGTTTATTTTCCTGCTGCAGTTCACGATAACCTGAGAGGACATCTTAAGGTAGGTGAAATACATATTTTGTTAGCAATATGTTTCTTTAAAAATATCAAACAGGTTTTTTTTGTCATAAGCTAACTATTTGGCAGATACTATAGAAGTTAAAAATTCAAGAATTGAAATTTGAAAAATAATTTGAATCAAAAGTAGACTGCTGGTCTTTTGTGATTTGGAGGAAGCTGAAATAACAATAATAATAATTGTTAATTTTATTTGCTTACTATGTGTAAACCTGTTAAATAGGGCAGGGATTTAAAACCTGCTGGCTGGTGTGGCTCAGTTGGTTGACTTTCATCCTGTATACTGGAAAGTCACCAGATTGATTCTCTGTCAGGGCACATACTTAGGTTGCAGGTTCAATCCCCCAGTCAGTGTGCATGTAGGAGGCAACCAATTGATGTTTCTCTTTCACATCTCTCTCTTTTCCCTCTCCCTTCACCTCTCTCTAAAATCAAATTTTTAATTTTTTTTAAAAATCCTGCTGTCAAGCTTAGGATTTAGTAGAGGAGTCGGATGCGGATGCTGCAGCCAACCCCATTATAAAGTATGATGGTCTAGATATAAAATATAAGAGCAGCAAGCTGTGACAGCAGCGGAGGAAGAACAATTAATTCAGTCTAGGGATGAAGGAAGGCTTCACTAGGAGTTGGGGTTTCAGCTGGAGTTCGATGGACAACAAGGATTGTGATTGGTGTAGAATAGGAAGAGTCATTCAGATTCTGGAATAACAATTTTATTACCTGGGAATAAAATTTTTATTGGACCCAGTGATAACACTAGCAACATGAATTTTATGTAGTCATTTGGTAGAATACACATTAATTAAAGCGTTCTTTACAAATTTTAATTAAAAAAATCTATTCAGCATGGAACTTTAAAAGTTTTACTTTGTGCTTTAATTGTTAGCATATTTTTTAGAGTTCATTGATATTCTAATACTAAAATATATTAAATGCTAGATGTATTCTGTATACTAGGCCAGTTTTTCTTTTGCTGCCACTATTAATTAATTTTGGGTCCATTTCCACTTTTGTCTCTTCATACTTAAGTCTAGCCTATCCTGTAAACTAGTGGTTCTCATTCTTTTCACTGCTGTGGACATAATAGATGGGTAGGCTTTTATGGCAATACCCTGTGTATAAGGGCTACCATACCGGACCTATATCACTAACCAAGAAAGACTGTACATTAAGATTGAAAACTGCTTCCTTAAGCTTCAAATCACATACATCCTCCTTTACAAAATATTTAGAGTTTTCACAATTAGAAACTATCTCTCTCCTGAGCTTCTGTAGCCCCTCGTCTTCATTTTTCTTTATGGCCCCCTGTATTTTGTTGTACCTTAGTTAATGTACAAGTCTTAGTTTCTTGAAAACAAAATCTGTAACTGATGCATTTCTTAGCAGAGTGCTTTATAATAGAAGATACTCAGCAAGTGTTTTTTTTTTAAATACATTTTTATTGATTTCAGAGAAGAAGGGAGAGAGAGAGAGATAAAAACATCAATGATGAGAGAGAATCATTGATCGGCTGCCTCCTCCTAGGGATTGAGTCTGCAACCCAGGATGTGCCCTTGACCAGAATTAAACCCGGGATTCTTTGGTCTGTCCGCAGGCCGATGCTGTATTCACCGAGCCAAACTGGCTAAGGCTCAGCAAGTATTTGAATGAATAAATACTTTAGGGTCAATTCTGAATATGATTATTGAAAATTACCATTTAGTTATACTTCTTTGTGTCATGGTCGTATTTTCTGGTTGATTTTTAAGATCCTGGACTTGGACAACTTACATGTTTTGGTTTTATGGTTGTTGCTATGACTCTCTTTACAGTGTACTTACATAGAAATTGATCAAGTCCCTGAAACATATACTGTTGTTCTCAGTCGCCCAGCTTGGTTGTGGGGCGCAGAAATGGGAGCCAATGAACATGGAGTTTGCATTGGGAATGAAGCTGTTTGGGGAAGAGAAGAAGTTTGTGATGAAGAGGCGCTACTGGGCATGGACCTTGTCAGGTTCTTTTTCTGTTGTATTTTTTGCACTATAGAACTTGTCTAAAATTTAAATTTTGGTGTAACTCTTACATACTTTATTTTTCTATTTTTTCTTTTGTTTGGACTTTGATACTTTATAGTGTGTGTCAGAAATGCTTTAAAGTACTAGCATGTAGTGTAAAGACTCTCAAATATCATTAATTGGGAGAGGCTAAGAATTGATAATCATGATTCATTGGAAGTACCTAACATATTTTGTCAGACCATAACTAATTCTCACAGTAACTTCAGATGAGATACCTGAGGATCAGAGATCAAGTAACTTGCCAATAAATTACCAACTTGGAATTTGAACATTGATCTGTTTGACTCCAAAATCATTGTTTTCAATTCCAAACTGACTTCAGGAGGAATAGTTTTGAAGTTGGATTTCAGTTTACCTGTTAACTTGAAATAATTTTTATTTGAATACAACCACAAAATCTCATGTGCATGAAATTATTTAAGCAAAACAATGGAAATTTATTTTAACCTGAGAACTTTAATATTTTTATTTTAGACTTGGCCTTGAAAGAGCTGATACAGCTGAAAAAGCTCTCGACGTCATTGTTGATTTATTAGAAAAATATGGCCAGGGTGGAAATTGTTCAGAGGATGGTATGGCATTTAGCTATCACAACAGTTTCCTGATAGCTGATAGGAATGAAGCCTGGATTCTGGAGACTGCAGGGAAGTACTGGGCAGCAGAAAAAGTACAAGGTATGGATAACTTTTCCTCATTTGTTTTACAATTAATAAATTCTCCCTTAATTGCAGAAGTTGCATGTAATTGTCTTTCAAGATTTATAATTCAGTGCAGTGAAGGGTTGAACTACAGGAGAAATGAAACAATTTTAAAGAACACACAATGAAAGAGCACTACAAAGAGCTTTCTTGAAAGGGAGAAAACAGTGATGTTATCTTTTTTCCATAGATGTAATATAAATTTTAAATAACCTCTATATATTTTCTATACAGTAGCTCTTGGCTGTTTTATAGTGTTTTCCACTTTTTAATAATCTCTTACCATTTTCTGTCTTTTAACTTTGGGCTGAATTCCAAAATTTCATAATGTGTGGGTATGAAGGTGAAAAAGGGGAGTGGTAGTAGGGTGGGCATGGATGTCTGTGGCTAGTGGTTAGAAAGAATATGTTGATACAATAGTAAAGCATTATCATAGTAAAAGAACACAATTTAATTGTCTTAAAATGCTTTGCTTTGTTTTCCATGGTTTCTTTATGAACATATATTCCTCTCATTTTTCAAGTGAGAAAATGCAGATAGGTGAATTACTCAAGGCAGTGAATGAAAAACTTAGAATTTAAATCTTTCCATCCTGACTCTCCGTTCAGTGTTCTTTCATTAGAGTACAGTCTGTGCTCAAGTGTGATCACATACTTCTTGTGCACTTACGTCCTGGATCTCATGGTTTTACAAGGGAGATAAGATACACATGTGAAAATATTAAATGGTGTATGAATGATACAAACACATAGATACTGTAAACATTTGGAGAAAGTGAAAGTCACAGTGAGCCAGAGGAGTTCAGAAAGGCTTTATGAAGGTAGCCTCAAGCTTAGGAGGATTTGGATGTTATTTTTCACAAAAGATCATTGCCAGTTTTTGATGGACATTTTATATTTTTGTATGTATGTTTACTAATACAACAGTAAAAAAAACAGTACATATAATTGAATTTAGACTATTTTTCTTATTGTAATAATTGGCCTGATTGTACCATTAAGCACTTTTTATTTTATTAACTGTGCCACTTGCAAGAGAGAAATGAATAAATGTATTCTTTTGAAAAAGATGGGCCCAGCAAGCCATCCAATGTGAACACTATCATTGGGTTTAATTATCCAGTTCTAAAATAACTTTGCCCACTGGTTTCTCTTCCTTACTAAATGATCCCAAGACTAAAGAGTTAAACTAGGGAATTAGCTATTAGATGGAAAACTCTTTTCTGTATTTGTTCTATCCTGACTTAAGTCTAGTTTTTGTGGAGAGAATATCTCAAGTATGACTGTATTAGAGTAATTTAATTGATTTCTGCTTGGCAGACTGTAATTCTAAATCTGTCTAAAACACTATCAATTTTCATTTATCATGATATATTTCATTCATTATGATCTCTTTAGCACAGGCTTTTACAGTCTATTTTGTATTTTAGTTGAACATTTTGTTTAACTTTGTGCCGTGCTATTTTTGGAAGACATGTATTTCTGTTCTAAATTTCTTTATGACTATTTTTCAAAAACTAATTAATACTAAAATATATAAAAAAGTCTCAAAAGCCAACAGTAAAAAAAAAATCCAATTAGAAAAATGGGCAAAAGACATGAAGAGACATTTCATCTAAAGGGATATGCAGATGTCAAAAAAACACATGGGGGAAAAAAAAACATGTAAAATGATGTTCGATATCATTATCCATTAGGAAAGGGAAACTAAAATCAAAATGAGATATTACTATACCCCTGTCAGAATGACTAAAATAAAAAATGACACCACTAAATGCTGGTGAGAATGTGGAGACTGGATCACTGATACATTGCTAGTAAGGATGTACAGCTACTCTAGGTAACAGTTTGGAAGTTTAAAAAAATCTAAACATGAAACTATCATAAAACCTAGCAATTGAAATGTTGTGCATTTGTCCCAGAGAAATAAAAACTTATATTCACACAAGAACCTATACATGAATATTTATAGCAGCTTTTTCCATGACAGCCCCAAACAGATATCCTTTAACTTGTGAATGGCTAAATAAACTGTCATATGTACATACTATAGAATACTACTCAGCAATAAAAAGTAATGAACTGTTGATACATGTAATAACCTGTATGAATCTTTAGAGAATTATACTGAATGAAAAAAACCAAAAAGTTATATACTATATGATTCTACTTATATAACACTAGAAGCCCGGTGCACGAAATTTGTGCAAGGGGCTCGGCCCTCACAGCCCCGACTTCGTTTGGAAGGTCATTCAGAAGGACATCAGGAAGGTCATTCGGCTGTCTGGTCTAATTAGCATATTATGCTTTTATTATTATAGATTCTTAAATGACAGTTGTAGAAATGGATAACAAACTAGTGGTTGCCTGGGGTTAATGAGATGCTGGGGATGGGAGACAAGTGAGTATGGCTATAAAAGGGCAACTTGAGTGATCCTTTTGGTGATGAAAATATTCTACATCTTGACTTTATCAGTACCAGTATTTTGGTTGTAATATTATACAAAAAGTTACATTGTGGGGAACTGGGTAAAGTATACACAGGATCTGTCTATTGTGACAACTGCATGTGAATCTATATCTCAAAAATAAAAAGTTTAATTTAAAAAGCAATTTATCTTTTTGAATATGTAATAGATGCATATGGTACAAATTTTGAAGACTATATTTACATTTAAATGTGATTATGAATCATAATATACAGATAGCTACATTATATTAAATACCACTTTTCTTCTCCCTTCACCTTTTCTTCTTTGAAAAAAGAGGGAGTTCGTAATATTTCTAATCAGCTTTCTATAACGACCAAGATTGATCGGGAACACCCAGACATGAGAAACTATGCTAAGCGGAAAGGTTGGTGGGATGGTAAAAAGGAGTTTGATTTTGCGGCGACATATTCTTACATTGACACAACCAAGATGACAATTTCACCAGGAAGATACTGTGAAGGCTACAAACTTCTGAATAAACACAAAGGTAATTTTATCATTTAAATAATATCAAAATGAAAAATTATATTTTTGTGTAGGTATAATATGGGTATAATAAAATATTTTTTGAGGAATCATCCTTAGTAAAGATGTAATTTTAAACTAAAAACATTGTGATATTATAAGCTATTTTTTAAGATGAGTGAAGTGTTATAAATTTATGAGAGGGTAATGATTTTGTTTGAAGAACAAGTTCAGATTTGTAATCCTTAGACCCTTTTTCCAGTTCATACCAATGTTCTTAATCCAAATTAGAATTACTTTACCTCTCAAAGTTCACCGAAACATGGAGACAGAGTTTTTGGACTATAACTATTGCTTCTTTCATTTATCTTTGATGGTACTATTATTGGTTATTTTTATGACAAAAGTTATATCTAGAACTGGTCAAAAAGACAAACTGAGCAGATTAAGAATTTCCATTCCAAAAGTCTAGAAAGGCTGAATAAAATATTTAAATATTAAAGACATATATAGCTAAGTTCAAACACAAGAAGAAGAAATCACTAGGTACCAAAAATGAGGGGAGAACCCATTATGTTAGCAAGATTTGAGATGTCTTATTCCCATACAGTACTCTTCCTCTCTGTGTTCAAGGTGGGGATTCTGGACCAGGTATAAGCCTTAGAGGCTAGTTTTATCATCTATGAGAATGCAGGTGTGTAAGTGAAAGACCCATTTGGAGAGCAGGAACTGGACTCCTTACCAAAATTATAGTATGAAAAATGCTACTCTGCTCCCTGCCCAGAGTTCTAGCCTGGAATTGTGCTGTCTGCTGTCTCAGCTTTGGGTCAACAAGTCTCTTGTGAGAGATTGAACGCTGAGCTACATATATTTTTGTAGGCGCAGCAGGGGCTACCTGTGCTATCCTGAGAAACAAACACTGGTTTGAAAGCAGTAAACCACACAGGATTCCAGCATACCTATATCTCTATATTCTCTATGAGAATATTTGATATGACAAATATTTAGTATTTTATTCAGATTTTCCATCCAGATAGTAAACCTGCTATAATGACTCTGTATGTAGTTGCCATTGAAAACATTTAAGCTTCATGGGTGTTTAGATGAATGGTTGTAGTTTCTATATTTACTATGGATAATTTCTATTGTTGAGTCCTGAAGTTAACTGATATATTCATCTGCATTATCTAACCTGCTGTTAATCTCATGTGGTGACATTTTCATTTCAGATATTGTAGTTTTCATCTCTACATATTTTATTTGGTTCTTTTTATATATCTCCCATTATTTTATTCATTATCTTCATTTTTCTTGAAATCTTTGAACATATTCAGCATATTTATAATAGCTGTTTTAGCATCTTGGTCTGCAAACTCCATTATCTCTGTAATTTATGGGTCTGTTTCTGTTTTTGTTTTTCTTCTGGTTTCGGGTCACATTTTCCTGCTTATTCATATATTGAATTTTTTAAAAATATTCTTTATTGATTGTTAGAGAGAGAGGAAGGGAGAGGGAGAGAGAGAAACATTGATGCAAGAGCAAAACCTTCATCTGTTACTTCCTACCGGGGATTGAACCTGCAACCTGGGCATGTGCCCTGACTGGGAATCGAACCCCAAACCTTTCTGTACCCGGGATGACACCCAACCTACTGAGTGATACTGACCAGGGCAGAAGTAAGTCTTGATTTAGCAGACAGTTTGTTTGTTCTCAACCTACTAACTTTATCCCCTAGTCGGCAGCTCAAATTTCAGTTCAGTTCTTTTATTTTTAGCTGATCTGCCCTACACAGATCAGGTGAGATGTGGGCAGAGTTTTTTACACAGAATTTGGTGGTTCCTCTCTTTAACTTTCACCTTGATGGTATTCCCCCTTCACTTCCTAGTGCCTGTGGCTGCCCTCTGGATCTTCAGGCCACAAAGACTAAGTTTTATGTGGCTCCCTGCCCAGTATTGCACAGCATTGACTGTGGGCCAACGCTGTAACAGAAAAGGGAAACACCCTGCGCGTTATCTCATCTTCCAAATGTCACCTTCCCTCCAGAATTTTTCTGCTTTTGTTTGCTCTGAAGAGCCGTCGGGTAGTTGTTTTTCTGCATTTTATTCTGAGTGTATAGTTATTTGAGGGAGGGCTGATCTGGTGGGAGTTTACTCAGCCAAATTAAAGCAGAACTCTTTCCCATGCCATTTAATATTCTATGGCATTCTTTTACTTGTAAATATAAATATATGTACATGATTCAAAATTCAGAGGTCCATAAGAGTATGCAGTGAAGTCTCTCCCTCTTACCCTGTCCCTAGATATCATTTCTTTTCCCAGAGGCAATTCCGTATCATTCTTCCAGAGATGATGGCCCTGATCGGCCCTGATTGCCACCCAGGCCGAGGGACCCACCCATGCACGAATTTGTGTACTGGGCCTCTAGTTAATACATATTTCCCCATTTTTATATTCCGTTACTACTGACTCTTAAAAAATAATTTCAATAATTTCTTTGTCCCTTTGTTACCTTAAATTCCAGAAAAATAACTTCTATTTAAGAAGGTTACTGGGTGGCAGATAACTGCTAAAAAGGTTAGTTCACTAATGAGAAAATGTGATATATCCTCCTTCACTTGAAGGATAAACCAGTTCTATAAATCAATCAGAAAGCAACTACTCAGAGATAGACCAGTCAGTGATTGATAGTTGCTTTCCAGAAATTCATTAAACAAATTAATGATATATTAGTTATTTGGTATGACAGAAAAAAAATTTGTGACAGAATGTTTTCAGAATGCTTTAACACAATCGTTTTTAAAGTATTTAATATCTTACTTATATTTTAATTTCCAGAAGAATGTCTTATCATTTGAAAAGTTTTCTATAAAGTTTCTAAATGTTAGCTTATCATTTTATAAGTTATGTAAACTATCTTTTTCTCATGTGGATAGCTGTGTAGAAAATGCTAAAATATGTTATTCTAATTCTAATTTTAAATTTATTATTGTAGCCCTAACCGGTTTGGCTCAGTGGATAGAGCGTCGGCCTGCGGACTGAAGGGTCCCAGGTTCAATTCCTCTCAGGGGCATGTGCCTTGGTTGCGGGCACATCCTCAGTTGGGGGGTATGCAGGAGGCAGCTGATCGATGTTTCTCTCTCATTGATGTTTCTAGCTCTCTGTCACTCTCCCTTCTTCTCTGTAAAAAATCAATAAAATATATTTTTAAAAAATTTATTATTGTAAAAGTAGAGACAGGCATAGCAATTGCACCAACACCTACTTCCATTTGTTAAAAGCATATCAAGGGCTAGACACTGTGCTAAGTGAATATATTATCATCTTTAAGCAACTGTGTGAAGTAGGTATTATTGCCATTTTACAAATTATGAAACTGTGGTCTTCATTTATCTCCCTATGAAACTTAAAAAAAATGGACTCTTTCTTGTCCTTATGTTCCTCTCAGCACCTAGTCTTGCACTAGTTTGTTGTGTATACCTAATGTTTTGATTAAATTTTAAAAGGATTTAATTAAATTATAACTTGTAGATAGTTTAACAAAGATTACTGTTGTGTACTTTTTTGGCAATAAACTGAAATCCTCAGGACATAAAATTAGCAGGCCTTTTTAAAAAAATGAAGAACAACACATAATTAGAGTGGAGAGGCAAATGTCAAGAATCCTAAGGTTTATGGTAATTAAACAAAAGGAAGAAAAAGTAGAAACAATTACAAATTAATTAGTTACTGCATCATAATAATTGATTCTGTTTTACTTAACTATAAAATAACTGAATAATATATTTAAAATGTATATATGATGATAGTAATAGGTGCATCAGACATGAAACTTATTTTTTCCTCCCAAGTTTGAATTTCAGCTCAGCTTTTTGTGCTTTGCCAAAAGAATGTCTTTCCAGTACTTTTATAGGAAATTGTCTACTTGTACATTATGGTTAATTTTTTCCTATGATTTTTCTAGATGGAAGAGCTTACCTCTCTTCTTTCCAACTGTCCCTGACTGATAGCTATTAACTGTGCTGCATGTATATCCAAATTGTATCTATATTCACTCATGTATTTTAAATAACTAGTTTAAATTGCAGTGAAATTGCACCCTGTGTTTTGCATTCATTTGCGTGAACCTTGCCACTGAAGCCTCAATACTTATTCAATGCTTGCTAGTGAATTACTCATAGCTATCCTACTCAAGTGATCATGTAAATCCTCCTTTCATTTTGAGAATTGTAGGTTTTGAATACAGAAAACGTTTTCATAATACCTATATTATGACAGTGTTATGGTTCTGACACTGTTTTCATTAAAACTTGCCACTTAAGGAATTTAGATTTGAATCACTTTAAAACCTCCCTAGGTGCAGCGGCTATGTGTCTGCTAGGTGTGGATGGTAGGCTTTTGCTTTATTGTTTAGTTTTAATATTAAGGCTTGTTTATATATCCAACTTTTTTTCCTCCTGAATTTTTTTTCAAATTTAACAGAAAGATATTGCTCCTATAACAAGTTATTTATAAATTACTTCTCTTGAATTTGAAATCATTGCTGTACTATGGAGAAACTGAGATTTTTCTATTATAAAACAGTTGGCCCTGGCTTGTGTGGCTCAGTTGGTTAGCATCATTCCCTACACTAGAAGGTAGTGGGTTAGATTCCTGGTCAGGGCACATACCCAGGTTGAGGGTTCAATCCCCAGTTGGTGTGTGTGGGAGGCAACGGGTGGATAGTTCTCACATCCATGTTTCTTTCTCTCTCCCTTCCTTTCTCTGAGATCAATAAAAAACAAATAAACATCACACATTAGGTTTATCAGACACAGACTTTCAAATTTGTATGTTTTGTATGTTTAAGAAAATTTGATAAAAAGGAAGAGAATTGCATCAGAGTACTGCAATCTATAAAAGAGAACAAAATGGAAATAATCCTATATAATAAAAACCTAATATGCAAATCAACCGAATGGCAGAAAGACTGGTCATTACGGCACGCACTGACCACCAGGGGGCAACACTCAACACAGGAGCTGCCCCCAGCCCACAGACCCCAGGCCAGCCAAGGCGGGTGCCAGCGGAGGCCCCCTGATCACCCCGCCAGTCGCCCCGCAGAGGAAGGCAACCAGCAGCGGCAGCAGGGGGTGAGGCTGGCAAGCGGTCGGTGCCAGGCTGGCCAAGGTGGGTGCCAGCGGGGGGGGGGTGGGGGGCCCGATTACCCCACCAGTCACCCCACAGAGGGAGGTGACTGGTGGCAGCAGCAGAGGCTGGGCCAGCGAGCGGGTAGCGCCAGGCCAGCCAAGGCAGGTGCCAGTGGGGGCTCCCTCAACCACCCCGCCGGTCGCCCCACAGATCAGCCCTGATCACTGGCCAGGCATAGGGACCCTACCTATGCATGAATTTCATGCATTGGGCCTCTAGTAGAATTATAAAGTAATAATAACAAATGAAGAACTAAATAGGTTGGTTTAACAACAAATTAGACATAATAGAAGGAAAAAATAGTGAACTGGAAGATTAGTAGAAAAGAACTTAATGAAAACAGAGATATAAAAGTTTAGAAAATATAGACAAAGGTGTGAGAGGCATATGGGACTCAGTGAAAAGGTTTCACATATGTGTCGTTGAAGTCCCAGAAGGAAAAGGAGAAGGAATATTGAGGGGCAAAAGCAATATTTTAAAAGATACTGGATAAGAGTTTCCCCAAACTATTTGTTTATTTAGAGGATTGTCAATTTTAATGATCTCTTCAAAGAACCAGATTTCAGTTTCATTGATTTTTCTCTATTTCTGCTTTCAATTTCATTGATTTGTGCTTTATTTTTATTATTTCCTTCCTTATGCTTGCTTTGGGCTTATTTTGTTCTTTTTCTAGTTTATTAAGGTGAAGCTTAGATTACTGATTTCCACATTGGCTTTTAAGTTTCTCTCTGGATACACACACACACACACACACACACACATACATACATATCCATTCCTACTCAGACTACAATTCACACTTTCCTATAACAGTATTAATTTCAGGCACAGGAAATTATTACAGAAAAAATAATTTGTTATTTTGTAAAGAACATCTTGAATACTAGTATTGGAAACTAAGCACACTATTTTCTTAATAGTTGGTTTTCTGAATAGATTGACTCAGATGATATTGATAGCATCAGTTCATTGCTAACTAAATACACCTTAAAATATTGTTTAAGGTCAATGAGATTGAATTTAATTTTGTATTATTAATTTCTTCTTCTTAGGCAGTTACATAGATTTTTACCTGTTATAATGGTTTGATATTTTATATTTAAAAATATCTTTCTTGCAACAGTGGAATGAGTCTAATCTAACAGTTATGATACAAGGTTTGTTTTATAGTCTATCCCTTAATTTATACCTAGACCAATATCTCATTGTATATATTATCAGTAGAGAAAGCATTTCATATTTGCAGGATACCAACCTGCAAATTTATGCACATTTGATGATTTTCAAAATTATTTTCTTAGGAAACATAACTTTTGAAACAATGATGGAAATTCTCCGAGATAAACCAAGTGGCATTAATATGGAGGGAGAATTCCTGACCACTGCAAGCATGGTTTCTATTTTACCTCAAGATTCCAAATTTCCTTGCATTCACTTCTTTACTGGGACTCCTGATCCTGAGAGGTAAAGTCACAAAAATACTATAAACCAGCAAGGGGTAAGGGGGTAGGGTAGAATCTTTAGTCTGTTGATTATTTTGTGAGGCTTCTTCTTTTTTTTTTTAAATACACCAATACACAAATAATTTTTGGATGCATTTCAGTTCAAGTTTTTGTCCGCCATTTCCATATGTGCATAAATGTCATAATTGTTCTCATTTTTGTTGGAAAAAATGTTAATAGTTTCTTGTATACAGTCATCCCTACATCCTCTTTCCCCAAGTATACTTAACATTGTCAAGAAAAGAGAGTAGAAAGGTTTTCTTATGCAGATTTCAGTATTATAATATTAGATGGTTAAGAGTTAATAAAAAAAGTAAATGATGTAGTGTGCTGGATTTAGATGGTTGCTTATGAACTCATATCTAGAAAATACATTCATACAGTTCAAGTTTAGAAGGATTTGTATAGACTATCTTGACTTAAGTCATTAGTATCTCTCACAAAACAATATAAATTACATTTAGAAATGATCTTATATTCACGATCTTTCAGTGTTAGTCTTTTATATTATTAAAGATATTTTCAAGAAAAATCTGTGAACCCCTTATTAATAATGCTGCTAATTTTCATCTAAAATCTTAATCTTCAATCTGTAACATTGAGAATTGTTCTTACCCTCTGATGAACTATAATTTTACTTGACACTGTTTACATGCCAGGCATTTTGTTAAATTCATGGGAATACAAGGCTAAATAAACTCCGTTCCCCGCCCCAAAGGAGATCCCAGTATACCAGGGAAGACAACATGGCTGCAACTAGTATGACAGGAACTCATTAGTATGTAACAAGTTAATAGAAACATCTAAGTAGAGGGAACCTTACAAGATTTAGAATAATGCTGAATATTTTTAAATTCCCCACGTGACAATTTAATAAAATATTTTTTCTTCTAGATCTGTTTTTAAGCCTTTCATATTTGTGCCAAATATTTCACAACTACTGGACACCAGTTCACCAACATTTGAATTTGAAGACCCAGTTAAAAAGAAGCCACATTTTAAGACTAAACCTGACAGAAGACACCCACTCTACCAAGAGCATCAACAGGCATTAAAAGTAATAGATAACAAGGAGGTATGATTAGATTATGTTCTATGTTTTATCATTACAAATAGTTTAAAATATGAATCAATCCATATTTTGTCTTTTAAAAAATATTTTTATTGATTTCAGAGAGGAAGGGAGAGGGAGAGAGAGATAGAAACACCAATGATGAGAATTGTTGATCAGCTGCCTCCTGCACACCCACTACTGCTGATTGAGCCCACAACCTGGGCATGTGCCCTGACCAGGAATCAAACCATGATCTCCTGGTTCATGGGTTGACGCTCAACCACTGAGCCACATAAGCTGGGCAATCAATCCATATTTTGAATTTGAGTTTTCTTTCCCTCCTTCATATACAAACAGGTTTAAAAATAGTTTAGATGCTTTGACTATGGTAGAGCTCTACTATTTTGTATCTTTGGTTAAAAATAATGATTAAGAATATGCTGTGAATCTTTTAGAGAGATGTAGCATATTAAACATAATATCAATAGCTACTTGTTATTGAGCACTATTATACACCAAGCACCATAGTACTATTACATGGAATATTTCATTTAACCTTCACAGCCTCTTTGTGAGGTAGGAACTATTATTATCTCCATTTTACTGAGAAGGAATCTAAGACTTCAAGAGAGTTTAAGTAGCTTGCTTATTATATACCTCACACCCAAAATTACAAAGCCACTGGAGGGCAGTTAACCTGGACTCTTATATAATGTTCTTAAGCATACAGATTCAGATTAATTTTAATTGAAAGTGCTTTAAGACCTCATCGACTTAAAATAATAATTAATTGGAGCTTTTAAAAAATAATAAATGCTTATTATTTTAAAATGTAAGCATTATAGAAGACTATAGAAGATTAAAATATCACCACAATCTTATCTTCAGAAATAAGCAAATGTATTTTTGGGGGGCAGATAGATGGATAGATAATTTTATATCCATACCTCTTTTGCCCTCTTCTCTCTCTTCCTCAGAGATTAAATAAAAAAAAAAAAAAGATTAGAAGGAAATGGAAGGACTGCTTAAAGGCTTTTAACAGATTCCCTGCTATGAAGGAAAAGATTCTCCATTTTATACATTTTTCTCACCTGTTTTCACCAACTCCTCATTTTTATTGCCTATAATTCCTATAATTGCCTATAATTTACCAAGGTATATGTATTTATATTCTATCTACATTAAGTGAATTAAATGCTTTTCCTTTTATTTTTTTATTTACTTTTGTCTGTAGCATGTTTGCAGAGTTGCCATGCCTCTCCCTGCCACCCCCATCTTGCTTATGCTTAAAGCAGAGACCTCCTATTTGCTTTATCTGGGCCCAGTTTGTTTTCACTTCTGACCTACAGTGTAAACCCTTTTTTGTAGCCTGGTGGCATGGAGTGAAAGGCAAGCATTTTGTTCTAGGAGTTCACTGTGTGCTAACTAGGGCCCAGTCCACTGGGCCAGAGGTGTCATCCACTCCCTGGGCCTGGTTTACTGTCCAGACTCAACACAGCACTGTGAAATATGATAAGTCCTCTGGTTTTTCTTGCCTGTACTCCAGTTCCTCAGTGATATGTTTCAAAAGTGTCTGCTCTGGAGGGATTTCCCTTCACTCCTCCTCCCCAGCAGCCTTCTCATTGCCCAAATCGCTTTTGTTAGTTTTCTAGAGTTGTCAGCTTCCTTTCCCCCTCAATACTGCTCTGGGAGGTGAGTTTTGTAGACTTACTAAATGTTTGTTAAACTAAATTGCTGATTGACATTTTCCCAAGTAATACTGAAATAAAATTTTAAAAGCTGTTACTATTTTAGGCTTTATTTAATGGGCATGAAATATTGATTGACAAAAAAAGTAGTGGAAAGACAATACGATTTGAGGGTAGAAGTGACAAAGAGTTGGGTTCTAGTCCTGGCTTTGCAAATAACTACTTCTGTGTCTTAGGGAAAGTCAGTCCTACTTGCAGTTTTAATTTACATTTGTTGATTACTAATGAGGTTGAAATTTTCCTTATATGTTTATTGGCCATTAGTGTTTTCTCTTAAAAGACTTGCCTACCCTTTTCCTTGGTTTATTTTTCAATTGATTCTTGGTTGTTTTGTCTTCTGCCTCAAAGAGGCAAACTATGTGAATAGTAAGTCTTTGTTACATTTCAAATTTTTAATCTCAACTTGTTATTTATTTGACTTTTTTATAGACAAAAATTTTAAATTTAGTTAGTTATACTTGTTAGTCTTTTCCTTTAAAGCATCTTGATTTCAAAAGGCCTACTTCACCTCAAGGTAATTATAACTTCTGTATTTTCTTCCAGTAGGTATATATGTTTGAAAAAATATTTAGTCCTTTAATTCCTCTGGAATTTATTTTTGCATATGCTATAAAATAGAGATTCTAACTTTGTTTTCCAAAGAGGTAACCAATTATTCAAAAACAATTTATAGGCAAAATGTACTTTTTCTCCACTGATATGAAATAAAATTTCTTCAAAAAACAATTGTATACAATGTTAAGGTTAAGTATCTTTATTTTGTGCTGTTTTGCCCCATAATGGTTCAAAATTTAGAAATTATGCTCACTTTCTAGTAATTTTCTTATATTTTAGTTGCTCCTTCCCTTGAACATTACTGTGCTATTTTCTTTGTTTATTCTGATAATATTATTTTTAAATATATAAGATCCAAATTCATAAAAATATCTCAGCCTCAACTTTTAGCAGCATTCCCATACATAATTAATACCAGATTTTCAACAATTTTGTTACTTGTCTTTTAGGTTTCTTGTTTATAGACTAATCCTACATAATTATTCTTGTTTTTTCTACTAAAAATAACTAACAATTTGGGGTTAATAAAATAACTCGAACTTTAGAACTATGATTTTCTCTGAAAGAATTTTATTCGTTCTATATCTAAAGAATAGGAGGAGGGGAACCAAACAAGAAGTAGAAACCAGAATGAACAAACCTTGTCTATGGAAGTTGATTAGAATTTGGTTAGACTTGTGTGTGTTCATTTATTGTTATTTTTAATTGTTTAGGAAAAAGCCAAAACAATGTTGGAGGACATGAGAAAACTGGAGAAAGAACTATTCAAAGAGATGGAATCAATCCTTCAAAACAAGCATCTTGATGTGGATAAAATTGTTAATCTTTTTTCTCAGTGTACAAAAGATGAAATTCGAATTTATAAGTTAAATATCAGTTCTTAATTACCATCTAAATGGTCAACAATCTTCCTCAAAGTCAGAATCAATCACCGTGGTAAATGATACGAACCTAGTGTGAGCAGATATGATTATTCTTCAATAGCATTCAAGTGATAGCTTGACTATTAAAACTGCATATAATTGCTGAAATATCAAGAAAGAAAATAACATCAAAATTAGACACATATATTATGGAATAGCCAGTTGTTACATCAGGTACTGCCCTGTGTTATTTTTTTTGTACTACAATAACTTTTTACAAATCACATATTCAATTCTGCATAAAGCATGAAACATTAAAATAATGCATAGATTTAAGTTTATTATAATTATGTATTGTCCTCAATTACAAAAAAGAAATTTTTTCTTTAATAATGAAAAATATTGTCTTATGGTGAAGTTTTGTGTGCTTCAGGCAAATATTAACCAGCTCTAACAAAGTGTTCCAGATTTACACATTAAGTCTTATTATAGTGTACTAGAGGCCTGGTGCACAAAATTCATGCACTTGGGGGGGTGTCCCTCAGCCCGGCCTGCACCCTCTTGCAGTCTGGGACCCCTCAGGGGATGTCCACCTGCTGGCTCCCCGAGAGTGGGCCTATGCCGGCAGTCGGTCATCCCTCTCACAGTCCAGGAGCCCTTGCTCCTTACTGCCCGCCTGCTCACTGCTCCTTACCGCTTAGCTCGCTGCTCCTTAATGCTGCTGCAGAGGCAGGAGAGGCTCCCGCCACCACCGCTGCGCTTGCCAGCCGTGAGCCTGGCTTCTGGCTGAGTGGCACTCCCCCTGTGGGAGTGCACTGACCACTGGGGGCAGCTCCTGTGTTGACCGTCTGCCCCTGGTGGTCAGTACGCATCATAGCAACCAGTCATTCTGCTGTAATGGACGCTTAGGCTTTTATTATATAGATTCATTCTGAAAATGTACTTTTATTAAACTCAGATATGCTCTTTGTCAAGACTTGGATGACCAGTGAGCCTTTAGCTATAATTATGTAGCATTTTTTTGGCCATACTCCTTTGTAGGATTTCATGTTAATATTTTAGAAGAGTTTGTGTGGGAGATTAGGAAATGGGATAGAAGATACCATTTCTGTGTCTCAAATTTCTCTCATCCTTTACATCTTTTCACTCTGTGAAAACAGAAATAGGAAGGAGATAGTAAGAATGAAAAAGAATTATTAGTGTATTATGAACATTTTAATGTATAATATATTGTGGACATTTATTACAAATGAGTAATAATCTCTGCCCAAAGTTTATAAAACTGTTAAAGTTACATTGAGATTACCAAGTAAGGGTCAAAGTTGCAAATATCTATAATAATAAAAGCATAATATGCTAATTAGACCGGATGACCTTCAGGACAAAGCTGGGGCTGCGAGGGGAAGCCCGGGTCCTGGGTGTCTGCCCATGGCTGGAGGGAAGCCCGGGTCCCGGGTGCCAGAGGGAAGCCGGTGCTGGCAGCCGAGGGAATGAAGGCCTACTCTTGCATGAATTTCCTGCATCGGGCCTCTAGTAAACAATAGAAAAACCCAACTCAAAATAACATTATATATTTATTGGTTTCTAAAAATGTCCGTTTTAGGATTTTGATTATATCATCTTATTTATTAGTCATTATCATTGCAACGGAGATTGTTACTAAAGTAGTGGACCATTATATATAAAGAGTACCCAGGAAATTATTTTTTAAAAGTTCTCTCATAAAAACCTTAATCTGCCTGGTTTTGTTTTTGTTTAATACAAGGCTGCCATTAAAGAAAGAAAGGATAACTACCTCAGGTTCTCAGTTTATTCTGTTTGCCTTAAGTGTGATTCAGTGATAGATTCTCCCTAAATCATGAAGACCATTGGCCAAACCCCATATACTTCCTCCCTTTCTCTTTTTTAGTATATAAGGAACTAAGGGTAAGCAGTTCATTGATTTATTCAGGGACACATAATTTAATCTTATTTCTCTAAGGCCAGCACATTTTCACTTTATCTTTTGACACCACCTGCTACTAAACCAGCGCCATCTCTCTCCTGGACAACTGCAGTTAACTGTTCTTCTACACCCATATTAATTCTTTATCTCCATTCACAAGAATCTCTGCAGCCAGAGGGATCTGTTAAAACTGCAAATTTAATCATGAATTTCCCTCCTAAAACTAAAAAAACCCACAAACCCCACAACCTTATTTTTTAGAGCAGTTTTAGATTTAGAGCAAAACTAAGCAAAAAGTACAGAGTTCCTATATCCTCCTGTCCCATTCCGACCTACCACCCCATAGTCCCACACCAGAGTAGTATGATTGTTATAATTGAACTTACATTAACACATCATTATCACCCAAATCCATAGTTTACATTAGGGTTCACTTATTGTACTTTCTATGGGCTTGGACAAATGTATGACATGTATCCACAATTATAGTATCATACAGAGCAGTTTCACTGCTCTAAATATCCTCTGTGCTACACCTGTTCATCCCTCCCTCCCCCTAACCCCTGGCAACCACAGGTCTTATTGTCTCCAGTTTTGCCTTTTGCAGAATATCATATAGTTAGAATCATACAGCATCTTTGCCATGCCTACCAGTCTTCTTTTTTTTAAACCCTTACCTGAGGACATGCTTAGAAAGAGGGGGGGAGGGAGAGACAGACAGAGAGAGAGAGAGAGAGAGAGAGAGGGAGAGATTGAGTGAGAGAGAGACATTGATTGGTTGCCTTCCATACATGCCCCAACTAGGGAATGAGCCCAAAACTCAGACATGTGCCCTGACTGGGAATTGAACTGGCAACCTTTCAGTGCATAGGACAATGATGCTCAAACAACAACCAACTAAGCAACTCTGGCCAGCCGCCTACCAGTCTTGATGTGGCTTCCTTTTGAAATCCTTAGTTGAAGGACTTCAGCTAGATTTCAGGCAGTTCTGAATGATGGTTGTTTTGTAGTTTAGTTGCAATTCTGATGTGGTTGTGGGAGGATTCTAGTATCGCATTTACCTAAGCCACTATCTTGACTGGAAGCCACTGTTTTTTAAAATTTCTGCTATGTTGCATTTTCAGTTACTTGAATGTGCCCAGTTTCTATATCATGTCTGTACTCTCTACTTCCACCATTCATTTCATTTGCTCCTTTTTATATAAGTAGTTCTTTTTATCCTTTAGAGTTTCGCTGAAACATGATTTTCTCGGGGAAGTTTTCCCCACACCACACCAGGTCAGGTTTCTTGTTACAGATACTCAGAGCCATAGGTGATCCTGATCATAACTGTTATGTATTTAACATCTGTTTTCACAGTAAAATAGAAGCTTTATGAGGATAGGAACCATATTTTTTCCCATAGTTGCATGCTCCGTGTTCAATATTCTGTCTGCACAAGCTCAATAAATATTTTGTTAAATGAACATTCAAGTATTGATGGAAATTTATACAGTCCTCTTCTCTATCTGTAAAATTAAGAAAATTAGGTAGACAATCAATCTGTACAACTTGGTAGCCTTTGATAAGTCTCAGATCAACCTGTTGCCTTTTCCCATATTCAAAATGGGAATAAGAGCTCCCCAGATAAAGACAAGGATTATTATAAGGTTATGTAAATTAATTTATAAAACAATTTAGGACACTTTCACTCTATAAATCCAGTGTGGTATTTGGGCTTTGGTACTTATGTGGGTCATTAATGCCTTGTGGTATATTTTAGAAAACTTAAGATTTTCTTACATTTCATGTGTTTCTTAAAAATAAAATATGTAGTAGCTAAAATTTAGCTTTTTTTTGGTCAACCCTTAAATGATGTTTATTATTTATAATTATGTGATAAATCAAAGAAATAATCTAATAAACTGAGTATTTTAGAGAAAGCTCATTTAATCTTTGATGAAAACCTTAATTTATATATTAATCTTCAATAAAAAATTTTTTCCCTAGAAATAATTATGCAGTCTAGAATTTTGTAAAATTACTGTCTACTTATAAAACTTGCCAAAAACAGGTACTATAGAGTGAATGTTTTCTCTTTTTAATTACTTCCAGCTTTTATCATACCACGTGTAGAAATTTGTCATCCTATCTTTTCCTGAAGAATGGTGATAACATTTCTGATCCTGAACTGTGTTTCTAACCATCATTTATCACTTGACTATCTATGTCCAGTGGTCTAAAGTAATATAGTATTTTCCATAATATGAGATATGAAGGGACAAAACCTAAGAGCTATATTCTGCTGCATGGGAAACATGTTAAATAATAGTTTTCCATTTTTCTTTAGAAACTTACCATTAATTGCTATTCTGAAAATGTCAAGTACACTTGACCTTATTCTAAAAACATTGAAATTTAAGCACAAGTTAGTCATGGAATTACTCACTGAGAACAAAGAAAAGAACAATTGGCCGAAACCGGTTTGGCTCAGTGGATAGAGCGTCGGCCTGCGGACTGAAGGGTCCCAGGTTCGATTCCGGTCAGGGGCATGTACCTTGGTTGCGGGCACATCCCCAGTAGGAGATGTGCAGGAGGCAGCTGATCGATGTTTCTCTCTCATCGATGTTTCTAACTCTCTCTCCCTTCCTCTCTGTAAAGAATCAATAAAATATATTTTAAAAAAAAGAATTGATCATGTTGAAGATTAGCATACAAGTGGTAGATTTTAATCAAAATTGTATCATAATTTTTCCAGCTGTGACCCTGCATGTTAAAAATTATGAAATATGTGAGTCAATAAAAAGAGTTTACTGAGTGCATAACTGAGCAAGGCCTGTGCACAGATCCCACAGGGTGACGAAGAATGGAACAATCTCAGGAGACCCATTTAAGAAAACATTAAAAACTTATAGAAAATACCTCTATGATGGCTTCTGCATTATTCAGATTACTCAAAGAAAAGACATTGGCAATGCAAGTTGAAATAGGTATTTTTATTTAGAAACTTGCTTTGTCAGTGAGAGAGTAAAAGTTACAAACATTTTAATTTAATAAAATTAACATATCCTTAACCCTAAAAACATCTCTTAAAAGCCTTCTTTTTCTGAAACTGCAGATCATTTTAACCCAGGGTTTTTTGTTTTGTTTTATTTGTTTGGCTTTCTTTTAATGTCTCTCATGGAAAAAGATGCTGCTGATTCCGCTCGTGCAAATAACAGAACATGTGTAGTATGACTTGTTTACAAACACAACAAATTTTCCACTTGAGTTTGAGTTGCCTGCATGCATGTGAGTTAATATCTCTATTGCTGTAGCTATAAAAGTCTACTGGCACAACAGTGAGGTTTTATGCTATCTCCTGAGCATTGAGAGTTACATTGTGGTCATATTTTTTTAAAAAAGTTCTGCAGCAAGACAGTTCTCCTGAAAAATATCCTCATTCCCTAATCATAACTTAAAATTGCTATAGATTAATATCACACACTAATGTATTTACAGGCATACCTTGTTTTACTGATTTTTGCTTTATTATACTTCGCAGATACTGCATTTTTTACAAATTGAAGGTAAGAGCCTCCACCAGCAAAAAGGTTACAACTCGCTGAAGGCTCAGATGATGATTAGCATTTTATAGCAATAAAGTATATTTAATTACGGTG